AGAGCAGTTACGCTGGGACTAGAACCCACGAGTCTTGACAGCCAGACCCTTAGTCTAACACACTCCTAGGGCTTGCTGTCACTCACACCCCACCCCTTGGGGGAGCGGGAGGCCTCGTCTTGGAACAATACAGAACAGCACCCCTCCCCCACCCGCCCCCTCTTTCCTCTCCAGCACAGTGGAAGCTCTCAGGCCCTGAGACTGTAGACAGAGGGAGCTTTGTGTCTCCCCAGCGCTGAGGTCGAGGGCGTGCGGCACATGATCCGCCAGGCGAGCCCCGCAGAGGCTGCGTCAGCCAGAGCCAGGGAGCGGGCACCTCCTGGGAGAGGGGCTGGGGCAGCCAACAGGGCCTGCCCCCCGCCTGCCCCGCCTTCACGGGCAGCCTCCTCCTGCTTTGCGCTGACAGGGCCTAGCAGCTCCAGGAGGGTGGCACATGCCAGCAACAGGGACAGCAATGTCCCCTGGCCACTGCAAGGAGGTCAGTGCAGCAGGGACTGGGGTCGAGTTCTGTCCCCAGCTCTGGGAGGAGTCAGAAGCCTGGGGGGCTGGAAGCCAGGGCTCCTGGATTCTCTGCCTGGTTCTGGGAGGGTTGTAGGGCTGACTGGTTAGAGCAGTGGAGGCTGGGAGCCAGGACTCATGGACTCTAGCCCCAGCTCTGGGAGGCAGGGCCAGTGGGGTTTAGCACTCCCAGCAGCCTATGCCCCATTCCAGAAGTCAGATTATTTCTCTGATGGTACTGAGCTGCTGCCTCATTTATTTACAGCCCCAGGGCCCCACGCACCCTGGGATGGCAGCAGCCCCAGCTGGCGAAATGGGGCAGAGCAGGAGCTCAAACCAGTCGCTACCCTAGGCAAGAAGCTGCTAAGACCGGGGCTATGTAAATGAGGCTAAGCGCAGAATATCGCCGAGCCTCATTTGCATATCTAATGAGCCGCCATTTTTGCAGAAGAGGCTCTTGCGCAAGAAGGAGCTGTCTACACTACCCCTTCTTGCGCAGGAAAAGCCCTCTTGCACAACGCTGTTACGCTGATTATTTTCAGGAAGAACGGCATTGCACGAGAGGGTTTTTCTTGTGCAAGACGGGGCAGTGTAGACAGCTCCTTCTTGCGCAAGAGCTCATTATATATGCAAATAAGGCTCGGCGATATTCCACGCGTAGCCTCATTTGCATAGCTCTGGCGCAAGATCGCGCCAGTGTAGACATAGCCCGGGGGAGTCAATTATAGCTTTTCAAGGTCCAGCTGCCAGAGAAAATAATACAAGATAACAGCAACGATGATAAGTAAATAAACAAGATTTTGCAGTTTGCTCAACAGAGTTGGGTGCTCTGTGTTTGGATCCTGGTCTACCTGTTGATTGCCTCTGTGCTAAGGAAACACGAAGAACCTCTGATATCATCTTCAGCTCCTTTCACGGAGGAGCCCATCATGTTTTACAAAATATCCATAGCAAGTGCGTCGCCCAAGAAAGTGCCACTTCACAAGGTTCAACACTGCAATGCAGCTGTCTCTTGGGTGGAGCACTCTGGGCTGTTTAACAGCAGGCAGCAATATGATGCACGTTGTAGTAGAAAGGAATCCTAGAATAAAAGAACTGGAAGGAACTTTGAGGGATCAATAAGTCCAGTCCCCTGCCCTCACGGCAGGACCAAGCATCATCTTCTGTCCCATCCCTGACAGGTGTGTGTCACCTGCTTAACCACCCTGACAATGAGGAAGGTTTTCCTAACGTCCAACCTAAACCTCCTTTGCTGCAATTTAAGCCCGTTGCTCTGTGTCCTATCATCAGAGGTTAAGGAGAACAATTGTTCTCCCTCCTTATAACACTGTTATAGGTACTTAAAACTGTTACTATGTCCCTTCTCAGTCTTCTCTTTTCCAAACTAAACAAGCCCAATTCTTTTAGTCTTCCCTCACAGGTCATATTTTCTTGACCTTTAATCATTTTTATTGCTCTTCTTTGGATCTTCTCCACTTTGTCCACCTCTTTCCCGAAACGTGGTGCCCAGATTTGGACACAGTACTCCAGTTGAGGCCTAATCAATGCTGAGTAGAGCGGAAGAATTATTTCTCACGTCTTGCTTAAAACACTCCTGTAAATGTATCCCAGAATGATGCGGGCTTTTTTCTTTTGCAAGATTATATCCAATGGAAACAATGGGAACCGAGGTTGGTTAAGTCAGGTTATACACGGTGGGAAAGGATGCATTGACTTTGGGGTTCCTTCTCTGGAAGGGGTTGATTCAAGGGGGTATGAGCCAGTCCAAGGCTTGGTCCCTCTCTCATTCAATTGTCAGGCTAGTTCCTGGACCAGTTAACATGGGTTTAAATCCACACTGGCTCCAATGGAGAGACCATGGATTTACAGAAGGACAACTGAGGTCAGGCAAGTCTAGTATTTATCTTTTTGGGGACTTGAAAGAAAAGTGCTGAAGTGGGGGAGGAAAGGGGAGGTTGGGAGATTAGAACGCCCTGGTTTGAGCCCATAAGGGACGCTGGGCCAAATTCATACTTGGCGGAACTCAGTTGGTCCCAGTGGAGTTATTCTAGGGAGAAGTTTGGCCCCATCAGCGGGGGGTAGACAGCTGCTCCTTTACGGGTTCCTTTGCCTGTGATCCAGCGGCAAAGGCTCTGAGACTCTCTCAAGTGCCTTCTCTGCCACCTTGAGTTAAGGGCTCTGCTTACAGTCACTCAGGAGTCGGGCTCGGAACCAATTTGTCAGCGGCATTGTACAGAGGCATTGAACCAAACTGTAATCCCTGAATGATGGAAACCACTTCAAGCCAAAGGGAGCGGCATACCCTCATCCACTCCTGGTTCCAGCACCTGTGCTCAGAACACCGCACCCCCCCCAACACAGATCTGCTTTGCATCTAAGTAGCTGGTCACCTCTTTCTTTCAGCCAGCAGATATCCCTATGCTGGCTGGTGCTGCATCCCTACTGGCAGGTTGGAGCGGGGTTTGAAAAAACACGTTGCTCTCTTCCTGGGGCCTTCCAAGCAGAGCCCACGACTGGTAGGGGAGAGCAGGGGAGAGCGGCCTTCTCAACCAGCTGTTATTGCCTGTCTGTGTCATGGGAATGTCGGTCAGGCACTGGTACCCCCCTTCTGCCAGGTGCTGCACAGACCCACAGAAAGAGCACCCCTGCCTCACAGAGTGGGGCTACGTCTAGACTGACATGATTTTCCAGAAATGCTTTTAACAGAAAAGTTTTCTGTTAAAAGTATTTTCGGAAAAGCGCGTCTAGATTGGCACAGATGCTTTTCCGCAAAAGCACTTTTTGCAGAAAAGCGTCCGTGGCCAATCTAGACGCGCTTTTGCGCAAAAAAGCCTCGATCGCCATTTTCGCAATCGGGGCTTTTTTGCGGAAAACAACTCTCTGCTGTCTACACTGGCCCTTTTGTGCAAAAGTTTTGCGCAAAAGGGACTTTTGCTGGAACGGGAACAGCATAGTATTTCCGCAAAAAGCACTGATTTCTTACAGTAGGAAGTCGGTGCTTTTGCGGAAATTCAAATGGCCAGTGTAGACAGCTGGCAAGTTTTTTCGGAAAAGTGGCTGATTTTCCAGAAAAACTAGCCAGTCTAGACACAGCCAAGGGATTGGACCTGCCTTGGGCAGAGGGTTGGATTTGATGATCTCCCGAGGTCTCTTCCAGCCGTGGGATTCTAACACTAACAGCAGCACCAGCCCCACTGAGCTCTGTTCATCAGGTATCTTGCAGCATGTCACAAAGTCATTATCCCCATGTTACAAACAGGGAAACTGAGGCACGGAGTAGGGTCACGACCTGTCCAAGGTCACCCAGCAAACCGGGGGAGGGCAGGGAGCGCTGGAGGCAGAGCTGGGAATAGATCCCAGGAGTCCTGTCTGATTCTTTATACATGGGGGTAGCTGGCTCAGGCCGCAGGACGGGGAAAGAAACGGGGCTCGGGGCCGAGCTAGGGCCTGATTCAAAGCCGCTGCGCTGGGCCAGCCCCCAGCCGGGGCCTAACGCGCTCAACACGTGGCGCAACCTAGAGCGTGTCCGGGCGCTGGCCCTTTAAGGCGCGGGAAGGGCGGGACGCTCGTCAGCCCCGCCTTCTTCCCGGAAGCGGAAGCTGCCGCGCGGGCACAGGCGGGCGGGGGGCGGAAGT